CGGCCTCCCCGCCGCGCCCCGGCCACTGTCGCCAGATGGGGGCTAATTAGCAGCTTTGAGAGCCGCGGTGGGAATCGGGCAGCACCAGGCCCTCCGCCAAGCCCTGAATGGAGGGGGCGACCCCAGCTCCGTGCCCACCCTGGGAACCGCCACCGCACTGGGATGGGGGACACAGGGAGGAGGGACAGAGGGAGGGACAGAGGGCTGGACGGACAGAGGGACAGAGGGATGCAGCTCCCCCCAGCCACGCCAGCAGGGTTAAAGCCAATACGTGCTCTTCAGGATTGCTGCTCTCACCCCCAGAGGAGGAAGAGTAGGGGAGGCCTTCAGGTCCCTGCACGCCTGAGGAGGCTGCAGCTGCTCTGAGCCCCCCCACAAAGGGGAGGGCACCGTGGCTCTCTGCACCCACACTGGGGCGAGCCTGCTTGACACACTCTCCAGCCAGAAAGGACATAAGATGTCCAGGCTGTCCCTGCGGCTATGCCACCATAAAGGTGCCATCACAGCAGAGCCACCACAGTGCTGCAGCCCACCCTGGCAGCCCTGTCCCCTGGCAAGTGGGTGGCAGCTGAGCACGCTGTGAGGTCGGGGTGCGCTGGAGCTGCGCTGTCGGGGTGCCCTGCCCGGCTTTGCAGCAGAGCCCGGCATGGCTTCCTGCTGTTGCCAACAATGCGGCGGCGCAGCCGGGCCCCGCAGTGTGGCCTCATGGGGTACATGGCGGGGCAGCGGGGGCTGCTCCGGCACATGGGCTCATGCATTGGTGTGCAAGGCAGGGGGAATGTGTGTGTGTAAGGGTGTATGGCTGTGTGTGCGCGTGTGTGTGTGTGCATTTGTCCATGCGTGCCTCTGCATCTGTGTGCATGCGCATGTACTCAGGGACGTGTTTGTGCATGTGTGTGCATCCACAGGTCTGTGTATCTGCGTGAATCTCCCTGTCCACGTGTGTCTGTGTACATCCATACAGCCGTGTGTATGTGCCCATATATGCGCACGCCTCCCCGTGTGCACACATGCACTCACATCCACGTGTGCCTCTGCACACCCGTGAGCGTGTGCAGTGACTGAGGAGCCCGCAGCTCTGCCTGCACCCCCTTTGCTCGCTGCTCCGCCGGTTCGTACTCTTGGCGGGTGGGCCGGGGGGGGGCTCGTCAGCGTTGCTCTGTGAAGCTGC